AATGTGCCAAAAAAGCAGCGTTTTAAAGGCCAACTGGAAGGCCTAGGCCGAGGTCCTGATTTAGGCTTTGAGGGCTTAACCTCAGCATTTTTTCCAAGTAAAGATGAATGAAAAGCAAGTTGTTAGGTTTGGGGGTTTGGGGTTTTTGTGGGGGGAGAGATTTTTGCAGGTATTGCTGGGAAATTAAAACAAAAGATATTGGTCCACTAGCAAGATTCTACTTTGTGCTAAAAAGAAGTATGTGGTTGATTTTTTTTAAAGTTAAAAATGAAGTGAAATGGGGAAAAGTATGTGATAATGTGTTTGGACCTAAAAGGCATTTAGATAAAATTCTAACTATTTGGGATTTCAGCCCTTCCAAATTCCCTGTGTAAAAGGCTCCTCTCCTTTCCTTGCTTTCCTGTTTTCCCCTGCTTGCCCTTCAGCCCTCCCTGCTGTTTTTGGATACGCCAGGTCAATTTATCCTTAAATTATATTTGCAAAGTGCAGTTGTTCTTGCTGAAAGCTGCAGGAAGGTGGGCAGAGGTGAAGCCCCCTCCGCCCCTGGCTCCTGTGCTGAGCCCTGATGCAGACACGACACATTCCTGCAGGTGACAGCCCTGCAAACGTCCTGGGAGGTGCAGGGACTTAAAATCCCAGGTGGAAGCAAAGCAAACAAATAAAATTTGGGAAACGGAGCTGAAATCAAAAGCACATCTCTCATCTCTCTTTGCTTAAGCTGTTTAGACGAGCTCTGTGTGCAGAGGAATTACTTTGAGGTAACTCAGACACCTTTCTTTTCTCCATGGGTGTCTCTGAAGGCAAAACTAATTCACTTCTGCTCCACCAGGTCTGCCCTCTATTGTTCCCCACTAATGTAATTTTTTTTTTTTGTCTTCAGAAACATTCCTGCCTGTGTAATCATCTCCAGCACAGAGAGCAAGGAGAGGAAATTAAGATGTTATTGAGGGTTTGAGAGATATCTCATGTTTCAGAGTGGATCAGAGGCCTTTTTCTTTTTTTTCTTTCTCCTTTAAGGTGCCTGTTTTGGGGAGATGAGGCAAATATGTTGTATGATTTGCTGGGGTGAAGCAGGGTTGGTCTTCAGGAAGCTGTGATGCTTCTCTCTTCTCTTGACACAGCAATAAATATGTCCTTAATTCCACATGTGGGTCTCTCTACAGCAGATAATCTCTTGGGGGAAGAGTTTCATCTCTGGTGGTCTGCACGGGGCAATCCCAAAAAGTTTTTACTAGACAGCTCCCAGTTCTCCTTGGTGAAGAGAGGACTGGACTACGTGAGGTATCAGACGAGATTTTTTTTTTTTTTTGGTGACATGAAGCAAAACTGAAGCTGACAAATAATTTCTGAGTTTTTTTGTTTTTTTTTTTTTTGTCTTCAACAAGGCTGAGCTGGAGGGAGCTGAGCTGCTTCTACCAGGCGAGTGATTTATCTTGTTATAAGAGAGTTCATTTTTTAACTAAAGAATGAGACTGTACACATGAAAATCCATCAGCAGAGGTTTTTCCAGGGTAACACAGGGTATTTCAGTTTCCTCATGTTTCCCAGGGCAGCTGTGGAAACCTGCACGGAGATTTTAAGGTGGCTTTGAAACTGCTTTGTGTTCCTCTGCTTCTTTTCATGGTGTCATTGGAGAGATTGTCCTCAAGAGCCACACTGGCCATGGCCACCAAACCACAGAGATGACACCTGGCTTAACTCACAGGGCCTTTGTGATGCTCGTGACCTATTTATTGACTCCATAAGAAAGAAATAATTAGAAAATTAGCATAAGTATTGCATGTCAGACTAAACTGCTTGCAGCTGCCTTTGAAAAAAGGGGTGGTGTAAAGTTTGCTGTACAAAAATGATGAAAAGTCAGCTGGGAGTTGCAGGTTCCTCAGCTGGGCTTCCTGATGGTGCTGTGTTCTGCTGAAACAACCTCACCCTCCTGTGTATCAGCTTGCTCATGTGTTTCCTCATGGACATGGTGCAGTCCCACACTGATATTTCACCTCACTAATGCAGAGAGAAAGGCAAGCTGGGGGAAATCTGAACCTTGCTTTTTGCATCTGTGTGTGAGTGAACTAACTTTGCTTCAGGCCACTGCATTCCCTGCTCAGCACTTGTGGGAATGGTGATTTGGAAAACCATGCAGAGGGGGTGCTGTTGGAAGCCCAAAGGTCTGTAAACATGATCTCTGCCCTGGTGGCTTCCAGGAAAAGCATAGCTGAGAAATGGACTTGGCTTGTCCCAACACTTCTCTGCCCCCAGCAGGAAAACAACTTGGGGTGCAGGTTTGTGAAAGAGGAGTGGGATTAGGGCTGCAAGGGGGCAACAGTCACCCTGCTCCTCGTCCTGCAGCATGGATTGAGTCTGGGACTAACTGGACTTGGCTGAGCCACAAGGATGGGTCTTTGGCAAATCAGGGCTTGGAGAAAACTGTTTCCCTGACATCTGCTGATTTTTATGGAAGTCATAGAGCTAAACACCTTCCAGACTCTGTGTCTAATCTGGTGAGCCCGGTGCAGGTGAGACACATTCCTGCAATCCATTTCTGCAGCTGGGCACTCTCCCTGCACCACAGGAATGGAAATATCCTCCTTCATCAGCTGCAAAAGGCAAAGAACAGGCTGCAGTCTGACATTGGAGAGGCTGGGATTCATCATCCCCATCCCCATCATCCCCCATCCTCACCTGGGGGTGCTGCTGGCAGAGACTGGGAGGTCACTACTGAAGAATTTGCCAGGGCTGAGCTAAAAGCCAGCTTTTATCCAAAAAGGGGCTGCAAAGCGTGGAGACACCGGGTAAAATGTAAGCAAGAGCCCCAAGTGGTATACAGACAAAAGCTGCAGGTATTTAAGCCACTTAGGCATTATTAATAGATGGGTTTCTCTGACGTGTGACTTGCAGCAGGTTAAAATAAAACACCAGCACGGTCCCTGCTGGACTTGCAGCTCCTGAAAACAGAGGCAGCCCCAGTGTATAATAGGATCTTCACTGCTCTTCTGGGGCTTGAATAACATTATGGTGACTTTGCATAGATTTTTGCCCTTAATGCAAATAGGGAAATGATTTTCTAATCAGGTAAGATTAGGCTGAAACATGATAGCTGGAGTTTGGTTTGTTAATGAAATACAAAGAAGTAGCCTGTACCTTTGTAAACTATTCTTAAAAATAACGCCATGTTAAAAAAATATTGGTTTCTTTGGCTAGCAGTTATGTGAGAGAGCCTTGATGCAAATCTTTGTAATGAGTGCATTCCGATGAGCATTTGAAAAATATATATGTATTTATTTGCATTGATATGTTTATATGGCTTTACATATCAACTTAGTCAGGAAAAATTGAATAAAATGTCTCAGGTCTGGGAAATGAGAAGAGATTATGAAAAGCAGATTTAATATAGCACCGTTTTTTGATGTTTGTGGCACATTTCATCATATTGCCAGAGACACCCAATTACACAGCTTGCAGAGTAATCAGCAAATGGGGAATCCGAAGGAGAATATTAACTCTGGTCTTTTTTTTCCCCTTCCTCCTCCTCCTTCTTTAGCAAATATTATGTTATGCCTTATGGAAATGGATCAAAATGCCACATGTGCAGTTAATACTGAGCTCTGGAGCTCTTTCAAATCTTATTTTTCCCCTCACATTGTATTTTTCTGGAACAAACCTCCTGATAACTTTAGGACATGGTCTTCAAGGCCAAAGCACCACCTTAAACTTCCTGCAAGTTTGGGTTTCAGTTTTAGCTGGTGTCTGACTTTACCTCATCAACATTGTGTGAGGGAAAAATTGAGTTATTAATTGAAGACAACCACATGCAAGGACATGATCACAGTTCACCCATTTATTTCCCTCTTTGTGAAGGCAGGAATTGACAGAGCAATTTGGTGTCTTTGATGGTCACAGACACTCCTTACCTACATGGTTTTTAATATTCAAAGCAGACTTGTAACTGCAGTGGAAAAGGAGATCTAATGATTAATATTTTCCTTATCTTGGATTAAAAAAAAAAGAAAAAAAAGCAGTGGCTGCAGTGCAGGACAGTTGTGGCTGGCTGATATTTTGGGTGTGTGTGATCAAACAGTTTTCAAAGGCACTGATGGAACCGGGTCAGAACTATTTGCACTACAATTTTTGCAGGCAGGGGTGTTTCCAGTCTCTGCCCACATTCCCACTGTTCTGGTTCTCTGCCTGGCTTAAGAAAAAGCCACTTTTCCTGAGAATGTCTAAAAAGTTATTCATCACTGTTACGAATGCACTTGCATTTCCATCCAGATTACTTTTTCCCTTCTATGTGTCTCCCTTTACATTATTTCTAGTGTTGAGAAAAGAAATTGGGAAATCATATTAATGGGGGATGACATTCTGAAATGGAATAATTTAGGTTTTTTTTTAAAGGAGCTTGGTTATCAGATGACTTCAGGAAAATATTGATAAACTCAGAAAAATAATTTTTTTTCCATCTGCTTTACCAGGCATCAAATTGGGCCTAAACCCAAGCTTAAATCACTTCTTGCCCAAGAAGCTGGGCAAGTTGGGCAAGTAGTTTCGTCTTTTAGGTTCAAACTAACCCTGAAGGAACAGGAGGTGCAGGAACAAGTTTGCAGAAGCTTTTCTGCCATCTCCTGGAGCACAGCCCCCATGGCTCGGTGTAGAAAAGGGGACAGGTCCTGCACCAAAAGAACAGAAACATCCTCAAAATCATATGGAAAGCCCAGTCGTTTGAAAGTGGTCCCATTTATTGTGCACCCCGGTCTCTAGAGATGTGCTGGCTGGTGAGGTCTTTCCTATCTTCACCTCCCCAGGCAGGAATTTTTCCCTGGGGTGTGCAGGAAGGTGACAAGAGGTGCTGCAGACACTGCAGTGGTGTCCCGTGGCCAAGGGGGATTTTCATCTGCCACCCCAGCTGGAGATGCCCACCCCAACAGCAAGAAGCTGTTATTCAGCACCTTTTTGTGCAGCTCCTTCTGTGTGGCCCCAGCCTCAGGTTAATGAATGATTCACAAAATGCATTTTTCTTTTTTTTTTTTTTTTCCTTTTTATTAGCGGAGTATGAAAACAGGCAATAATTTTACAGAAAGCAGGACTGGCACAATTGGTACATAGCATCATGCTGCAGCTTTTCAGAAATGAATATAAACTCTTTTTTTTCTTCTTCTTCTTTTACCTACCAGAATAAATAAATATGATACACGTTTGAGTTCCTCAATAGTGAATTCTAAAGCACAAGGTCTTACACTACAGCTCAATTTTACAGCGATCTGTACAGTATATTACTTTGATTTCCTTTTTGCAATTTAAAAGCCTTTGTTCCTTTGCAAGATGGGTTTGACATACAAACACGGATACACTTTGGAGCTAACTGTACACCTTGGGTCAGAACCTGGGGAAAAAAGAAGAATAAACTGATTGCCTCCTGGCATGAGAAAATGAACTAAAAAGTTATTTTCCATTGCACAGATGCATCTAAGGTTCTGCTTTATGGGATGGCCCCGCTCAGCTGGCAGAGCAGTTAGAAAAGGCTTTGGCCATTCATAGGGCACAGATGCACCATTTAACTTGCTATGGGTTTAATCTGTGTCTTGGAGAGGTTTTGAAGAGGACTTCCAGCCTGGAACCCAGACTATTAAAAATATAATAGCTTTTTTTTTTTTTGGGTTAATAAACAGAAAATTGTATATTCTTTACAAATCAGTGTGGGGGTTAAGTGTTGTTCCCAGCTGTGCTCCAGTGAAACTGGTGCAGTAATTCCACTCTGACAAGTGATGAGGGTCCGAATTTGTGCACCTCAGCCTTTGCATTTCTTCCCCAGGAGCTCAGGCCAGCCAGGGATGATGTGGATGCTGCTGCCTGAGCAGCTGGGGAGCAAACAGCACCCCCAAAGTCTGTGGGAAGCAGGGAAGGGAACCTTCATCCCTGCCGGGCTGGGCTGTACCACGGTGGGAGAGTCGCAGCCGCATGGCAGAGCAGGGGATTTTTTTGTTTGTTTGATCTTGCATTGCTGAAATTTTTGGGGGTTTTTCTTTTTGTTGTTTATTGCACCAACCTCTTCTTATCCTTCCATTACAGATTTGGGCTGAGACCAGACCTATGCAGAGAAATAGCTTTTTTTCACTCAAAAGAAAAAAAAAATTTGGATGTATTATGCTGCTCTAGAACAGATCATAAAAAAACAGCAAGGGGCACATGGAGGGCTAAGAAGGGAAGAAAAGAAAAATCAACACAGCTTGTAAAACCAGCAGGAAAGTTCTGTAATTGACTTTTTTCAAACTTAATTGAATTACATTTCATAGCTACTGTAATTAAACTAATAGAATATGGTGGATTTTAATTTGCATTCCTTTTCTAGAGAGGTTTATTTAATCCTTTATGTGTGAACTCTTCAGAAATGTCCTGATGTTGCTCAAAATTGTCATGTCAGTGGAAGTACCACACATGGAACACAGGGACAGAAATAATTACAGTTCCCATGTCTGTGTCCATGACTTTGGTTTTTCTTCAGCAAAAATGAGCATCTCTCTGGCTGGCTGCAGTGGCAACACATACCTAGAGCTCATTAAAATTCTTCACATAGTGAAAAATCTAAATGAGAAAGGAAATGTGGAGGGATCTGTTTGCTGATGGTTATTTTCATATTTGGCAGTATTTTTCTTTTGTTTCCTACACAGCAAATGATGATTTTTCTTGGAGGAAATACAGGGGAAAAAAAACTATCTCCCTTTATTCCCACATTCACCATCAAGAACATTTCCCCTTCTCAGCCAAAAAAGTTAAAAAGTCAAAAAAAAAAAAAAAAAAGGAAGTTTCCTTTCAGCCTCCCAGCATCATTATTGGATACTTTCTCATTTAGCATTTCTCCTGCACTGTTTAAATATTTCCTTTTTTTTTTTTTTAAATTTTTTTTTTTAATTAACACTTATTAGACTTCACTTGCAATGTAGAAGACATTTAATTGCAAATTTTTGCCTTCAAAATCATGGCTGATTTTCTCCTGGGACTTGATGCTGCAAGAACCGTGTATAAAACCTTTATAAATTCGCTAAGGAGGGTTTGGAGCTGTAGCTGGTTCACCAAGGAGAGGCGAAGGAAACAAAGCCATAGGAAAGGCAAAAGATTGGCAGAGGAAATCTCCAGATCTATAACCTGTTTCCAAATAGGAAGACTTTTTCCAGATTTTTCACCACTGTTTTTAAAGGATTGGGCAACTTCTTTTCCTGGCCTTCGTTCCACGCTGTGCATTTGTTTGGCGTTCCTTTCATACATTAAAAAAAACAACTTGATCATCTGCCTCACAGAAAATGGAATGTGTCTTTCCTTTCTACATTTCACCTCCCCGTGGGTGGAGCTGTCCTGGGACCGCCCTGCCCTGGCACCAGGCTGGCACAGCATCCAGAGGGGATGGAGAACTTTTTGTCCCCCTGTAACAGTTCAGTTGTAGGATCTCTGTGTTACACCCCAAGCATTTTATGCCTGGGATGGAAGAAGCCACGTTATATCCAACTAAAACGTTTGTTAAGAAGTGTCAGATCTCTGTCTGGAAGTGAGGAGGGGAAAGTCAATCTATTTTGATTCTGAGACTCATCAGTGACTTAATTTTCCTAAATGGCTGTGGCTGGTGGAAGGAAAGGGGACAAGCAGAGCTCACATCCCAAATCCCACATTTGCAGGGGCTCTTCCTGCTTGGAGAAACATCCTGCTTTGCTAAGTTCAAAGAGGAATGATGCAGAATCAGTTCTTTCAGCCTTCCCAATATATGCACAGGATTATACTGAAGGGGGAGTTTCTCCCTATGTTTGTTCATAAATTTCTTTTGGTCAGAAATAGCCCAAGAGCTCAGTGACCCTACAACAATATGCAGGGAAGATTCACTTTTGACAGATAATTAATTATTATACTTTTGCAAGCTGTGAGCCTAGATTCTTGCATTTTTGCATTTCCAAATAAATTTTGGCTTTTCAGGACAGCTCACTTCCCTCAGGGATGTTTATAGTAAAAAAGTAAACCCCAAACTTTGCATAAAATACCTCAGGGACTCATCTGTATTTAAGGAAATCTCCTAAATTTTTTTATGTTTACTTTTAAATTTTAGGTGTTTTCATCCTGATTCAGAACAGGAGGAATTATCTCCAGCTGGGAATTATTCACATGCCCTGATCCAGGAGCAGCTGCACCTCAGTCAACTGCTGCTCCTCGCAGAGGCAGAGGAGGAGGGTGCTGAACAAATACCCCTGTGGACTGATGCAGATCTGATTGTCTCCTTTCCCAGTTTCCTTCCTGAGCCTCAACCCAATGTTGGTTTTTAATGGGGCGAGAGATGCTCCACTGGGGAAATTCCTGGTAGCAGCTCCAAGCCTCTGTGAGGAAGTGAGGAAGGAGATGAGCAGAACACAGGGATGAAGGGGGTCAGGCTCCAGGGTTGCTCAGACGTGTGAAGGCTGCGAATGTTAAAATTAATTTTTGCATTGAGGCACAGGGAAGAATTTCCCTCCTTGGCTCAGTGGGGAAGGTCTTGTCCTCCTCCAGAGGATCATGGCAAATCTAGTGCTGGATCAAGCTTATCTCCTGTGCTCTCTGTCCTCGCCTTGCAGGAGCCGGCCATAAACCCAGGCCATAAATCCAGGACATAAATCCTGACCTTCCTGTGGCAGATGCCATGGTATCCATGGTGAGCCATGGGAAGGCTGTGTGTGCCCTGGTGAGAGCTGATGCCTCCCTCTGCAGCCCCATGGGCAGAGAAGAGATGCCCGTGTTCCCTGGGATGGTGCAAGAGCGACTGCAGCCCTCTGCTCTCTGCCTCAGACACCCACTGACATGAGCTGCAGATTCATGGGCACCTTTTATTAATTAAAAAAGAGCTCAAGTGCAGATTTGATCTCACACCCAATTACCTCACTTGTTCACTGGCACCAGGGAACAACATCAGAAGGGGTGTTAATTAAATTTTTGTTTGCTCTGCTCTGGTAAAGCAACTCCACAGCCTAGAATGGTGCAGAGGTCAGCAGGGCACAGAAAAAAAATATAGGTGAATAGAGCCTTTCAAGGAAGGAGGAGGAAAATTAAAGCTTTGTTTGGGTGTCCCTGGTTTGGGTGACAGACAGCAAAAAAAGAAAGCTGGGACTTTCTTTTTGGACAGAGTAAATGTGCTTTGGTGGTTTTAATTTACTCAGACTCCTTTGAAAGTGGCAGCCAAAAATCTGCTTCCTACAAATACGCTTGATTTTGGCAAAGTGGAGAATTCTGACGGTCACGGTGGTTGATTTGACACAGTCAGGAAAACTAAAGCATGAGAGAAAAGCCCCAAACTGAAGTGTTTGGCACAACAGAAATATTTATGGAAGACACTCCATTTTCCTTGGAAGCTGGTGCAGTTGATGAGCTGCCCCCTCCAGAGGTCTTCTCCTGCTACAACTTTATGAGGGATAAACCATGATTTCCCATCAAACAGCTGTTCTTACATCTCTGTTTGTGGGAGTTAGATGCTTTTTCAAGAAATAACAATGTAGCTGAAAACACTCTTTCCATCCACATTTCAATAGGTAATTTGAACCCCAGTATGAAGCAAGGTGAGAGTCAGAGTGGCCACGCTTGGGTGGCTGTGGGTCTACACTTCAGGTTAAATAAATTTGGATTATTTGCAGAGAGGCAGCACAGATCCGCCCAGGCTGTTAGTGACACACCCAGTCGAACTCTCAGGACACAAACATAGCACCTGCCCCAGAGTCACTCTGGATTTTTTGATCCTAGGCAATATTAGAGAAGCAATCTGAATACCATCCCTCCTTAATGCTCAAAGGAATAGCAGTGAGTCCAAAATGTTTATTTGGTCAGGCAAAAAAAAAAAAAAAAAAAAAAAAAAAGGAAAAAAAAAAGTGATTTAAATTGGCAGAAATACTTCTTCTCAACAAGAAAAACCACCTAAGGGTGAATGATGGGTCATTCCAATGAAATGAGACTGAAACTGTTCAGTGCAATAATTCTGAAGCTGGTGAATTTTGGTTACTTGCAAACCTTGCATTTTTGCCAAGTTCATCTATCTCCCCTCAGTTCCCAAAAGAATATAAAGCCCCTGCTTACACTTGCTTTGCCTCCAGCACTTCAGCATTTTTCACTTGTTACATTTTCACTTGAAAACCACTTTCTGGACTGAGGGCTTGAGAATAGAGTTTGGTGATCAGAGATTTTTTCCTAGACACAGCTTGCATTAATCAAGTTTTTTGTCAAAGAACCATAAAATTCATGGTGTGTGAACACACCAGGAGTCCATACGAAATTTTAATTACCATCTATTGTCAAAGTAAGACCAAAATGTTTTCCATAAAGAAAACCCCGTAACTTGTAAATAAAGTTTACACTTCACTGAAAATCAAAGAGGAAACAATACAGATCAAAAATAATCTGCAAATTTGGTCTTCATTTTCTCCCAGCCAGCAGCATTTGGCCAATATATTGTCCTCTTTGAGCAAGTGCTATTAAGAAGAAAAAGAAAAATGCTTGCCTTATAGGAAGTGCTTAAACAGGAAATTCACCTTCAGATCATTTCCCAGTTGTTAAAAATTTAGCTTTATCAGAGAAGGGAGAAGTGGAGTGGTGAAGTGCACGGTCATGTCTCTTCCTCATGAACACCTTTAGGATGCTGACCCAAGAAGATCAACTAGCTACCAGCTGAGGTCAAGATGATGGCTGATTTGTAACTCTGATACTAGCTACTAAAATTGAAAAGGAAAGGGGAATAAAAGCAAAAGAGGTCACAGTTCTGTAACACTGACAGTAACACACAGGTGATGGGTGCTGTCAACATTATAAACTATATACAAGACAAAGCAGGAACTCTTTCTCCCCCAAAGAACGTAACAGCAACAACAAAATAAAAGGTGAATATAACACAGTTGGCACCTTATCGAGGGGATGAGGAGAAGGGACTCCTCCTGGGTGTTACAGGCTGAACTCATGGCAGTCCAGAGGACAGTTCATCTGTCTAAACACAGATCCTCTCCCCCTTCCTCATTAAATATTCAGTGAAGACCAGGCCAGCAGCAATGTCTGACGCAACCGTGGTGCTAATAAGACGTGAACAAACGCAAAGTTTTCCCTGCAAGGGAGCACCTGACTCCAGGAAGAGGTGGGGGTGCGTGGGGATTCGAGGAGAGCCGTGTGTGGTGCCAGCCTCTGGGGCACCTTCTCACGGGCAGTCAGTTGGGGAGGGTGTCCAGCCCAAGGGACGCCGCGTGCTGCTTTGCCCGCAGCCTCAGGTTCTCAATGCTCGTGGTTTTACTGTTCAGGCTTGGCAGGGAGCTGGAGGCCTGCAGGATGGGGGAGGACCAGACCTGCTGAGCGTGGGACAGCGACTGGTAGTAGGACTGACAGTGCAGGGAGCTCAGCGGGGCCATGTTGACGTTCATGCCCAAGTAGGGCATGGCAGACGGTGTCCCCATTTCAAAGGAGGAGTAATGGACCAAGTTGTTGGTGGCTGCCATGTGCTGGCGGAACTGCTCCTGCAGGCGGAAGAGGCTCAGGGGAGAGGAGGAGTAGGAGTGAGTCTGAGCCAGGCCACTGCTGGACGAAGGTGTCACAGTCGCGCTGATAGGGGACTCTGCAGCAGGAGACAGAGGGGATGGGGGTTATTCCTACGGGCTTGTGCTTATTCATACCCCAGAAAGGTTTGGGCAGCAGCATGGGCTTGTCTCTTGCACTGGAGGGCAAATGAGAGAGGGTGTGACAGCTCACGAGAGCTAAATGTGTGCCTTTGCCATCCTGGCCCCTCAGAGTGCAGAAATGGGGCTGAACTCTCTGCTGCTGCTGGGCACTGCTCTCCCCAAGATCTAATTGGAGCAGAAGGTCTTTGCTCTTTCAATGCTCCAGCTTCAATAGACATCCTGCCTTTTGGGGGACCTGTTCAGTGCTGAGGACAAGAAGACAAACCTGGGCAGCCTATCCGTGAGCACCCACTCCACAGGGAATATGGGACTAACCCAACCTCCAGCATCCCCTTGGAAAGGGGTTCTGGCCAGCAGCCTGCCAGTCCTGACACCAACCCCCATCAATGCACCGCCCCTCACCTGCTTTTGGGCTCGCTCTCTTGCAGTTCAGAGTCTTGCTGTCCACACCAGGGCTCTTGTCCACTTTGGCCTCATCCAAGGTGCTCTTGAACTCCTCCTCTCTGTCGGTCTGGTCCTCAGGTGCCGACTCGCTGGCAGACTGCTCCGACAGGGTCAGGTTGAGGTCTGTGCCCACCTCACTGGGGAGGCTCTGGACCTTCTCAGTGTCTGGGGTGGGAGCCTGGGTCTCCAGCACAGGCGGCTCCATCTTTCCCTCACTGTGGCTCCCCTCACAGTCCTTCTGCTTCTGCAGCTGCTCTTTCTGCAGGCTGCGCTGCTTCTTCCGGAATTTGGCTCTCCGGTTCTTGAACCAGACCTTCCGTGCCACAAACAGCAAAGGAGAAAAGCCAGTGAGAATCCTGCTGAATGCCAAACTCAGCATCGCTCAGCCTCAGAGCTTCAGGGGAACCCCAAGTAATGAGGTGCTGCAAGCCCATGTGCTCAAAGGCCATTCCGCTATGCTGGACCTTACTGCTCAATTGTTTTCAGTGAATCTACAAATAACATTTCAAAGAGACTAAAAAATATCTAGCCTCTATATTGATTCTTTAACAGGCTCCACTACTAGTATTTTTTTGGGGTTTGATAGTTTTTTTCCCCTAAATTGGTTAGGCAGCTGCATCCAAAAAGAATGTCTTGCAGCTGTAATGTCTGATGGCATTACAATGGCTTACGGTTTGTTAAATTTCTAAAACAATTTGGTTATAAGTGTATCAAAACTATGATGGCAACACTCAAAGTCATTACAGGCATAAGCTGTTATCTGGGAACTGCACTTAGGAAAGAAGGAGAGAATCCATTATTTTTTTAACCTAAATCAGTAGACATGTATTCGAAGAAATATATTAGCAAAACTTGTTTGTTGTTTGCTTGGTTAGATAAGGGGACAAACAATTTTTTAGATCAAAATGCCTGGATACTTATATAAAAGAACCAATTTTTTCCCACAACTTTTTCTCTTCACAGTTAAAAATATTTGCCTTTTAAAAGACAAGAACTGCTTCACCAGCAGGTTATGAACTAGCACATTTTGCACTAATTGAAACTAAAAAGCAAACCCAAACCTTGGCCTGAGATGTTACAAATGTTGACACTGGTGGAAAAGAGCAGCTGGAATTACTTGGGTCTCTACTTTTTTGAGAAAGCCAGAAAAGCCTCGCAAATAAATAAATAAATAGACTTCTGTAGTTTCTAAAACTTCCCTCAAAGAAATGTGAAAGAACAAATGAAAACCAGTGTACACTTCAGACAATCCTAAATTTAAAAAATGTGCGCGTGGATTAGAAGTTTCTTAAGCAGATGTGTGACTTTGGGTAATTTTATCCTCCCTGCCCCTGCCTTTGACAACTTCACTGCCCCAAAATCTCTGGTTCCGCTGAAAGAATCCTGGAAGGTCAAGGGAGCTGTCAGCCCTCTGGGAACGCTGTGTTCTTTTAAACATCCCCACTGGCAAACCCCCACAATGTCAGTACCTGGACTCTGGCTTCAGGCAGGTTTGTGCACATGGCCAGGCGCTCTCTCATCACCACATCTGGGTAGTGAGTCTTCTGGAAGGTCTTCTCCAGGGCCTCCAGCTGCTGGGCGGTGAAGGCCGTGCGACTTCGCCTTTGTTTGCGGTGCTGGGATCCATAACGTGCCTCCAAAATGATGTCTTGAAATGTACAGCCGTTGGAAGACAAGGAAAGTGGCCAATTTAATTATTGGAATTTGTACGCTGACAGTCGAATAAAGCATTTGCTAACATCAGATGAAACTATGGGATGTTTTTTCCATTGCTTTAGAGCTAATAAAACACATACATATGGATTTTACTGGTTAACTGAGGTGTCCAAAGAGATAAAATCAGAGCAGAGGGGTTAAAATTAGATGACCTTTAAGATCACTTCCAGCCCAAACCATTCTATGATTCTAAAAACGTGCTCTGGAGAGAGAACCTTTTGTGACAGCTGTGAAAGCTGTTGAGGCTCTAGTGCTGAATTTGGCTGAAATAACTCAATCTGCTCCAACATCAGTGGGGCAGGACATGCAGATTCCAAGACCCTACCATGGCATAAACACCTTCCATTAGGAAACACAATTAAAAATTATGTGGGGACATTCACTCTTGTACTTCTTAAATGTCTTGTGCATAGCCCACTGCAGTCTTCAAGGCATGATATTGGAGAGTTGTTCTGGGCTCCAGTTCAGAGATCATTTAATCTCATGTGCTTTTGTGCATTTTGCTCCAAAGCACATCCTTCACTGAGCACGGACACTCTCCACCATCTGGGGTAGAAACACCAGCCAAGGCCACGTCCAGCCCCACTGGTTGCAAGCCCAGAGCTCATGTGCTGAGCTCTTCTCAGCAGAGCACCTACTCACAAGGTCTGACTTTGCAAAGCAAGCTCGGAAAATTGAGGGCAGAGAAGAAATTCAGACTGGGGAAAATCTGAGGCCAACAGTTAAGGGCTTATTATTTTACCAGAGGGTTTATTATTGCACAACAGTTAGTGGGAGTAGAAGGATCTTAAATCAATGAAAATAAGTTACTTGAAAATGAAAAAAACCCACCCTTTATTATGCAAGTTGGGACATGCTGTGCTACAGCCCTGGAATGAAACAGTCTGGCAAGAGGTTAGCTCTCATAGAGGAAATGCAGAAAGAGCAGTGTCTGGTATCATTTTTAATTCGGTTAAGAATGTGACTTCCAGTAGAAGGGAGGAATGAACACACGAGAAAACAACAGAAGAGGGAGAAAAGCTGGCACTATCAGCACACGGAGCCCGATGAAGGCTCTGGTCGCTGTTTGCTTGCGCTTTTGTCACGAGAATCGTGACATGAATCTAAACAATAAACAAAAACCTGCTGTCAGGCCACCCCCAGCACCACACAGCCAGGTCTCAGATCCACTGGCTAACAAGCATAGCAAATCAGCTTTGCATTCTCAAACATTCCTCTTCCAAAACTTCCAGCTGTTCCATTCTAGGTCAGCACTCGCAGCGCCCTTTTGGGGGATTGCCAAAGCTGCGTGGTTTTGGCAACCTGGCAGAGATGTGATCAGGCTAAAGGTCTTCAACAATATAGTGCTGGTTGCATACAAGAGAATTTTGTGTTTGAGGAATCAGAGCTCCTTGGGGAGTTCAAATGCTGGTGATAAAGCTGCCCTGTGGAGGCAGAGGGATCATCCTTGTGCATCCAGGCACAGCTGACAGCGCAGCCAGGAGAGGAGAAGGGATACTCCAGCAAAAGAAATGAAATTGAAGCTGCCCCAAAACATTTTAAAAAGCTAACATTTGTGTTTCAAGTACACAAAAACAGGAGAAAGGGCACTGGTTAAACACCCTACCTAAACACCCTACCTGCAGGCTGGAGTATCCCAAATTTCTAGAGTAGAGGTTACACCTACCAGCTCCCCAGAGGCAGCAGCTCATGCATTAAGTTTGGCCACTCCAGCGAGAGGCAAACAGCAATTATTTTAATGTTTTAACTATGTTTTCAGGCTTTGTGCAAGAAGGAGAATATAAATTGCAGGTGAGGCTTTGCAGTTACCACCAGAAGCCTCTGTTTTCTGACTTAAGGTCATTTGCTTTTGTGCTGCTTTATTCTGCCTGTCCCTGGAAGGCAAATGAGATCTATAACCTGCACTGAAAGATATTCAGAAGTAACAGAATGTGAGGCAACTGCAAAGGAAACAGCTCGTAGATATTTAATGCCTACACTGGCAATGATAAGCAGATGAGGGGACTGTGGGATTTAATTTGGAAAGTCTTCCAGGTGGGTTATTAATTTTAGAGATAAGAGGTCAAAAAACCAATTGAATCTTCTGGTCAAGAATATGAGAATAGTTTTTTTAGTCTTTTTTTTATCTTCCTCTGCTTTAGCCTAATTAGAGCCAAAGACATTAAGTCCTCCACACCTCTACTCTAAAAGGTAGAGATCACAAATATCTTTCTAGAGATCCTTACAGCTAGAAAAGGGGTGCCTTGAGATGCAGGGTCTGCACGTTACATTGCAGCGTTCAGGACCATCTGCTCCCATCTGACAACCTGCATAGTGAAAAGGGGCAGGGAACAAGGGGATGGATGACCAGGACAAGGACAGTGCTCTCCTCATCACTCTGTAGCCCAGCAGCAGAGCCAGGAGCAGAGTCCAGGTCACTTTGATTCCACTTTGGTTGTTTATTGATGAGAACAGTGACTCCTGCTCTGCCCTCTGCCACCCCAAAGATCCCACAGGCAACTTAGAACCATGTCAACAAGGTCACAAATAGCAGCTGGATAAAGGAACATGGCTGGCACAAAGACCTGACAGCCAGCTGTGGCTCACTGGTCCAAAGAGTCCAAGATCTTTATCATCATGCCTTTGTGGACTGCCCATCTGGGAGGACCTTCCTGAAACTTCTGCATCCTTATTTTGGCTTAAGCCATTATTTATGAAATTTTGCCCACCAAAGCTGTTTGGACAGGTAATTCTTCCCAGCTACTCTAGACTGGAATGAATCCCTCTACAATTTATTTATTTTTTTTAACTTTACTATCAGACAACTAGAAAGCTATCTTGGAACAGATAGATTTTTTGGCAGTCAGGAAAGATAATTCCATTCTGGGGAAGTTTCTAGAATCACAGGTATGGTAACTTTTTATTTAAGCTTCCACTTCCTTGTTGTCAGGTCTGCTTTACATCACTGCATCCAAGTCCAGACCAAAACAGTGATGTTGCAGCTGTTGATCACTTGCACTGCAAGAGTCTTTGATGATCGCAGCCAGGTCTGGATGTTTTGTGTCAGGCTGAAATTTAGAGCAGATATATGTGCCCTACCACACCAAATGTTCTCAGGTCTCCATCCATTATTTTTGAACAATTGCTTCTACCAAATCATAAAATACTGTCCGGGCTTTGCATTTCCTATTAATGAGAGCATCAGTGCAGTGCTGTTTCAACCATGGCCGAACACAGAAAACCAGCTCAGATGCTCTGTAGCAGCAGCTCCTGTCCTACTGCCCCACCATCACCAGTGCTGGGTACAGTCACGTGTGAGTGATTTGAGCTAAAAAGCTGTTTTATAGAAGGCAGCAGGATCTGCAGGGAAGTGTCACCCAAGGCAAGGTCTAGGATGGCAAGAGAGAAATAGGTCAGCGTGAAACCCAAATGAGATCCAAATGAAGACCATCTCCCAGAGAGAAAAAGGGGTTTTTAGGAAAGAAGTGGAAAATAGTTGCATGAGGAGACAACGTGAAGAAACGAGCTATGGCCTGGGATAGCAGGAGGTGGGTGTCAGGGAATGCAAGACCTGGGTGCCTGAGCTGGGGAATCCAATTTACTTTGTGATCACCTTCACTCCTGCTCCTATTTACTAACAAGAAAGGGAAATTCTTTGTTGTATTCTGTTCACTCGTTAAAAGACATTTCAGTGTCTTTTTAATCCTCTCTTTTCAATCCCATGCAGTTGAGCCATCTCTCCCCTGAGCTTCCCAGCTGTCTGAGGCCAGTCTGAATCACGGTGCCAGCGCACACTGGAGGGCAGGTGTCCCCTGAGAGCTTGGCCACGGGGATAGTACTGAGGGGCACACCATGCCCCTTGGCTCTCTCACACTCCAGAAGAGTTTCACTCAATGAAAGCAACAAAGATTTTTTTTGTTGCACTGGGTTTTTTAGTTTCTTTGTGTGTGCTGTTTTTTTCATTGTTGTTGTTGTTGGGGTTTAGGTTTTTGGGGTTTTTTTGATTTTTTTTTTTTTTGGTGTGGGGTTTTTAGAGCCGGGCAAGGGCGCTTGCCATGAGTTGTTCTTACCAGCCAGTCTCTCTGCCAGGGTGAGGGCGTGCACGGAGGGGCGGTAGTCGGGGGCGTGCTGGGCCTGCTGAGCTGCCTGCTGGTGGAGGTTGTACATGGCGCTCAGCGAGTTCATGGCGTGCAGCGAGTAGCCGTTCACTCCATAGTGCTGCATGGTGACATCAACCTGCAAAACATCAGCCACATGAGACAGGGGCTTAGGGACGTGCTGTTCCAGCAGCCTGGGGTCTCAGCAGAGCTGTGGACATGCTGAGCTCAGAGCTGAAGTGCTGCTGAAGGCTCGTGTCTGACCATGCAACTCCAACAGGTTCTGGGACAGCAATGGAAATATCTGCTGTACACCTGAAGCACCATCAACACGAGTCCAGTTTCCAAACTTAAAGCCCAGAATCTGACTATATCTCACTCATGCTGATCAAAATATGGGAAATTAATTTTTTTGCATACCACAATAGTTTATCATATTACAGTGACTTTTAATGCATTGTCCTAGCTCTATCCCAGGGATTTTGCCCCTATCACTGCCCACAGTAGCCTATTTGTTGTAATCCCAGCGCTGCAACGTCAAATAATGTTTCTCATCTGAGCTCACTCATTTATAATTTGTTTCCATTCATTATTCATTTTTCTAACAGGTCTTCTTAAGAAAACACAGATGATATGGTGAGGGGGGTGGGAAAAGAGCATGTGGTGAAAAAGAAAATAAATTTGCACCGTAATAGTACCAAAAATGTTACAGCTAAAGAGGGAATAAGGTTTGCAATAAATACCAACATTTCATAGCTCAATAGCAAGGAAATTATTTCAGAAAACTAATGGCCTTTTTTTTTTCTAGTGTGGGCTCTGCGTGAAACTTCAAGCTCTTTTTCCTTACAGACCATCTGTAAAACTGAGCTAATATTGATCTCAAAAGCCAAGCAATGCTTCATTCATCCCTGTTGTAAATGACTGAGGGCCTCCAGGATGTCGTTTCTGCAGTTTGTAAGACATCAGAAAGGAAGTTGTGAAACATTAGCCACAAAATAAATTTTTTAAACCACCCTTTACATCAGCAAGTCACCATCTGGAAAGTCAGTGCAATGAACAAACGCTCAGAGAAAGAGGGTCAGCTGGACTAACTTAAGGAAAGCAGACATCTTTTCAGGCAGCCTCTTAGACAATTTAAACTCTGGAGGGAGGTGATGATTTCAGGAGAAATGCCCATAGTTTTAGGAGGAATGTGATGCACTGAACAGTGAAAATTTGGAAGAACAACTATCTGCTGTATTTTCTGTACTGCAAAAAGACCTTCATATTTGCCCATAAATTATTTACAACACGAAGGGACAGACTCATGGTGAAGAGGCAGAGATGGAAATGAGTTGGTGCCACTGCCCCTCCTGCTCCGAACTTCTGCTCTTTTCACCTTGATGTAAGAAGTACAAACATGAAGTGACCTTGTGTAACAACCAGAGACCAAGGGGGAGCTCCTTAAAAAGCAGCTGAATTTAGTACAGCAGGGTCTGGGGCACCTCATAGCTTCGCCCTCACAAGCATCTCTGCACTCTGGTGCCCAGGAACAGGGGAGGGAAACATGCAGCTGAGTTTCGTCAAACACTCTGCCAGCCCAAGGATGACCCTCATGAATGTGAGTTCTGGTTTTGGGATTGTCTTCTCAAAGAGGCTACAGAAATTATAAACCCATAATTTTGACATTTAGCACTCTGCTTCGTTCCCATTTCCCCAAGTCCCTCGTGCTCTGCCACGGCATCATTTCAGCACTGAGTGCCAGTGGAAGGTGGCAGGTCCAGGTGTGGTGACACACCAAAGTCTGACAGACACCCTGATGCCAGCTTCATCTGTTTTGTGTCTGCTGCTCACCCACTCTGGACTGACTCCCCATTCTTCTAAGATAAAATGTGGAAATGGACATTTTCATTTCAGGCGCCAACCGAAACACAAGGATGCCATAGCTCTGCTCTAATGGAGCTTAGAGAAGATTTAAGCAATGACAAAATTGTTTGCTGGCTCTCTGATTAAGGTGATGGACTTCACACACCAACAGATTTTTGGCATTCTTATCTATTTTCCTCACAATGGGGTTCACAGTGAAATTATGGCTGTGATGTTGCTTTCTGGGACTGCAAAGTTTTGCTGCTGGTGGCACGTGTTAAGGGGCAGGTCTCAGTGACATGGACCACTGACATGGCCACAGAGGACATCTCCCATCACCTGGGAAAGACTGACCTGTGGTGCAGGCTCACCCCATCCTTGGTGTGGTTCATTTCCCAAGAGCATCATACCACCCAATACAGTTGTTCATTGCCTCACTGTCACAGACAAGGGCAGGTCTGGCTTTTCTGGCCAACACAGGCAGCAAAACCGAGATTTGCAACTTCATTCTGCCTCCTACCCTCTCACCACCTCACTTGTGAACCAGCTGGCTGGTTGTACCAGCTTTGGCCAGCGGGGCAGAGGTCTCAAAGCTTATTAAGTTCCTGCGTGTTTTGTGAAAACCATTTGAGGACACAGAACCTATTAACTGCCCTGGGCTGCTGCCAGACCTCTGTCCTTAATAGAGGCTGGAGAACCCACACCGGGCTCAGCCTTGCCAGGAGATACGTGGGAGGCCAAGTGTCTTTGACTCCCAGCTCACAGAAATGCCTGTTTTTCTTTTCTAATCCCCCTTGCATGTCGTCGGCTGTGTAGCAAGCTGGCACATTAAAGGAAAAACGAAGGGGGAGAGGAGGGGAATTTTCCCATACCATACAGTCTTCCAAGGACACTGCCAGTGGTGTTGTGTCTGGAGCCCAGTGTTTCCACTGAAACACTTGCTCCAGGAATATTTCGGTGGTTTTGATTGTTAAAAGATTATTTTATGTGTACATTTTTGGGTGGCCTAGAAGAAAGTGCATTAAAAAAAAAAAATAAAAAAGAGAAGGACTTCATAGGGGTGGACTCAGGATGGGAGTCAATGCCCATCGCAGCTTTGGTGGTAACTGCCTGTTACGCTGCAGTGCAGACAACAGGCAGAACTTCCTACTCACTTGTGCAGCAAATGTATCATCCCAGATTCTGTATAAAAAATGAGGGAATTTACTGAGTGAGACGGTTCAGCCGGGTAAGCAAAGTTAACTGAGACCACAAATAGCTCCTGTTTAACTGTCAGCTACGAGCTCACTCCAACCTCAATAAATTAAATATTTAAAAGACATCATGCAGCAATTTTTTTTAATGGAGAAAGCCATTCATCAAGCCACTGCTGTGTTTCACAAGCTGTCGAATAGTGCTTACACTGGTTAAAATAATCTTTATATTTCATTAAGCAACCAAATAAGCTGATCCCTTCCCACTGGCTGTATAGATGGTTTTAATTTTCAAAATCTGCAAATGCATCTTTTATGTCTCTGCGTGGCTGGAGGGCCTCAGGAACAGCCACAGCCAGGAGCAGGATGAGAGCGAAGTTTGAACTCCTGCTTTGTTGAAGGGTATGGGCTTGAGTAGCTGTGGATGAGCTGGGAGGGTTAAAGGGTCCATCCTGAAAGAAAGGGGATTCCTCATCCTGATTTTGTGCATCAGTGATAACTGAAGAGCTAGGAGCAGCCAAAAAAGGAGATGGAATGTGAGGAAAGGTGAAGGAAAACAATAGGTGAAAGAGAAATGCCCCTGCCAGGAGCCTGTGGGTTGATGCTGCTGCGTTTGCTCAGCACAGGGGGTGGATGCTGCCAGCTGGCACCTCCTGGGCCGGTGGTTTCTCCCTGCAGGGCCCCTCAGGGCAGCAGCAGAGATTCTCCCAGCCCCAGCATCACCAGCAGCAGAGACTCTCCCACCCCAGCATCCCAAGTCAGCCCTCTCCAGCCCCCTGCATTGCTCAGCACCAGCTGTGAGCTCTCCTCACATGCCCTGCACCAGATCCTGCCGGGGCTCCCACTCCTCCTGTCTTCACAATTCTGGCATTGCCACCTCAGTGTCAAAATCCCTCCCATGGCTCTTACCTCTCACTCATATTTTTGCTATGGAAAACTCATGGATGCTGTGCCCACCTTTCTTCCCAAGCCTGCAGACTTCTCAGAGTGCAGGGGCCATGTCCTGCCCGGATCCAGCCTCACAGACAGGACTTGGGATTTCCCCTAGCTTTAGCTGCTGCTGTCTATGAGAAATCCAGCTTTCTCCATTCCTGCATTGCTCTGAGACCAGACAATGCAGGATTGTGCCCATCCCACACTGACCCATGGACCCCCCCACTCTGTACTCAGCTGTTCAATCTGACACAAAACAATCTGCACATTTAGTAGCCAGAAACAGGAACCCTGTTATCCCAGGGCAGAGCTGCACTGCTCCCATCCATCCCTTCCCAGCACTGGCCTTGATAACCTCACGTTTCCCTGAAGCCATACAGCACAAGAGTGGTGCAATTTATGGTGCACCTCATAAAAATGTGGCATACAGGGGAGATCTGACCCTAGGTTTTAATATTCTCAGCTTTGTATAAGGCTTTAAGTTTCCCTATTTAGCTGGAAACTCATTTTGTATAATTATGCATGTAATTCTGTCCTGAGAGAAGATGTGAAGAGAGACCCATGCATTTCCTCACCAGCTGAAAACCCCTTCTCCTAGTGGCTTGTGTATAGGTGGAATTGAGACAATCTGAGAACAATTTTAAAAATGAGGTATTGACGTTTTCTGAAAAGTACCTGACAAGAAAACATCCATATTTTCCTTTCTATCAGGGAAAAAAACCCCAAAAAACCAACAAATCACCAAGCCAAAATCACAAACAGGACATTTGCCCTTCTCAAGCAAACTCTGTCGGGTGAGATGAGGCTGAGGCTGAGGCTGGATGTAGGACATGCAGCTTTGCAGGGGCTTTGGACCATTAACTCTTTTCCCTCCAAACAGTGAATCATCCCAAATTCAAAGAAATACTGAGACTAAATTCATTGATCTACATGAGACACTCAGGTGCCATCATAAAGAGAGGGGTAATAGAACCTATGTGTCGGAAATACTGAATTATTCTTAGAGGTTTCTGTGAAAGGATGCCAGTCTGCTTTTGACTGGTGGGCACCATGGGGTATTTCTTTACCACTTCAGCAAAGCTGTCTCCAAAATGGGAGGGTTGGTGATGGTAGAGAAGATGTATGAGTCTTTCTTTATGAGGGAAATAAGATGTACAAAAAAAAAATA